ACTATGATTGGTCAACTGTCTGACGGATTGACCAATCGGAAATGACTGAGCGGAACGAGAGCCTTGACCAATGACGAAAAGAGCCATTTTCTGCGTACACCATTCCGCTCTATGAGTTTACACCTTCGTGTCTCTTCCGTTCTTGGCGCCAACTACGCGAGGATCAACGTTGACTCTTCTGTGCTCAATTAACGCGTGATATTCGTCTCGGCAAATGAGCGCAACAATCGACAGTAAGATTACGGATCGCGACAATCACTTAAACGCGGTTGACAAATGTTTCTCACTCTCGTACGAGACGATCGCGTGCGTAGCAGATGACCGAGATTGTGGTAAGAAATGATCGCGTCACGAGGAGCGACGCGAAAACACGCGGAACGTCCGCCTCGCTCGGCCGATTCGCGCCGACTGATTCGACACAATAGACCGTTTTCGACCCAAGTGTTTACGTTACGGCGCTACGTCATTTCTTGGAATCCGCGCTCGGTTTTCGGCCGAGGTGTTTACGTACGCAACATCATTCACGCGGCGAAAGTCGAACGAGTCGGTTGTGTACGCGCCGCACCACATATTGTATTCTTTTTTCATACGTGTTCGATCACTCTCTGCGAATAGTCGGTGATCGATATCATCGCTGTTTCTAAGTTGAAAGCGTGAAACATTAACATTTATCAGTGATTTATTAATGCCACTATTTTGCAGTGATCGGACTCTGTGACAATCGAAGACAGTCGCATTCAGATGTTTACAAAAGTGAGTGTAAATTGGCGAGTGTGTGAGGACACTTGAGTGCGGGAGGAAGCCTGGGATTGGCATCGAGCGTCATTGCAGGAGCAACGCAGATTCAACTCCGCTGCTGCGCATCGTGTCGGTGATGAGCCGACTATGGAAGGAGTTTTCTTCCTTCCTGACCTCTGGTCAAAACGACGAGACTACATGGCCAGGAGCAACGAAAGGTATGTCTAATCTGGCTCTTATACGAAGGAAAAGTTGATAGGACGGGGTAAGTGGTGAATATCGGTGTATACAAAATAATTTGATTTCTTTCATCTGTCAAAATTCGGGTGGGTTAGTCTTCTTTATTCTCGCATATGTGTGCGAGATTGAAGAAGCCTCTAATAAATCTCAATCGCGCGCGTATTATAACTTGAAATCGAACCTTTTATAAATCACCTCGCGGTTTTAATAAAAAGACTTTTTGGTTTATTAAGTTGAAACACGGATAGGTAGGAAAATTGATAGAACTATACATCGGAATACGAGCAGGTAGGGATTCGGGGGGACGTAACTCGATGCTAACACTGCATTGTTTTGCATGGAAAGCCGTATACGATCTTTATCATGAAGAGTTAGGGTCTATCGCGTTCGAGGATCACGTAAAATCGGGCCGTCTCAGGCTTCTCTTTGGCATTATCTCGTAGGTTCTCCCAGTTTCATTTCCAGGCTGCTAATTTGCCAGCTGTACATACGAAACGGTAATTATTTAGATTAACACACCCACCTCCAATAACCTTGGGCTTGACATATGTTGTCAAGGTTACCCTCCTGAGTAACGCTCAGAAGGATTTAGCCGGCGCTCGTTGTTTATTAAAAAGTTA